AGTTAATATATTTTTTGTTTAATATACATATGCAGACAAATATAACATGAGACAAAAAGTATAAATTTATTTTCTAATAAATAAAATAAAAAAACAAAATTGATTATATATTTCGTTCTCCGATTTTGTCTCATTAATTAAAAAAACAATAACTAAATAAATAATAACAACAATTGTAAATTAAAATTAATAAATTCATATAAAGTGTGTGTGTGTTAGCCATCAATGAATAAATATGAAAATAAAAACAAAATTTATATATATATATATATAAATTAAAAACAACACATGGAAAAAAATTATAAAATAAAGAAACATGATCAACAAATTGGTAATGTATATAATTTTATGAAAATTTAAAATTACAGTATATATTCAATTGTTTTTAACATTTTTAAATATGGGTCCAAATGGCCTCAGTTTTTTTTTGTGTATGTGTGAGTTTTTGTTTTAAATAAAATCCAATAACAAATTCTGAGCTTAAAAACTAACAAATGTTTTTTTTTTCAATTTCTTAATAATTGATTTTATTATCGTTTTTTAATACACGTTTTTAAACTATTTTTGATTTAAGTCTTGCGACAGATTTATGTTTTCAACATAACTTTTTAAGTAGGTTTTCTTATTTTGAGTTTTATTTTTTTTATTAATTTTTTTGAAAGTCTAAATTTGTACAAACATTTAGAAATTGAAAATTAGAGACAAAGATTTAATTTTCATTGAAAAAGGTATTATTTTTTGATCAAAGGTTTCCCTCCTTTTTTTAATTTATTTAATTAGAAATATTTTATTACTCCTAAATCTAAATTAAATGAAAAATGTTTATAAATAGAAAAAATGCAAAATAATCAACATTTATATTTTCAAAAAAGCTTAAAATTGTTCTGTTCTTACTTCTATATTTTGGAGGGAAATATTTTTTTATTATTTTCATTAGCTCTAAAAATATATATTTTATATTTTTTGTTTTCCTTTTAATTATTTAATAAGAAAAATATTTTTTCAATAACTTTTAAACATATTTTGCAGGTTTTGGTGTAAATATTTGTCTTTTCTATTTCAAAAAATATATGCTTCATTCATTCTTTTTTCCTATTAAAATGTAGCTTTATTGTCTATTTTCGGTTTTTTGTTGTTGTGTTGGCTGCTGTTAGTTGTGAAATGTTTTTGCAAATAAAATTTTATATAAAATTTCCGTTTGCTTGGTATAATATTTTTTGTTGTAAAAAATTCTTTAGCATACATAAGATTGAAATGTAGCTTTACACTACTTAGCAATATTGGTGATTAGAACAAAAGGTAAAAAGCGTAAGGGAAATATTGTAAAATATTTTTTGTCCGATTTTTTCTTTTCAATTTAAACATTTTTTTAGATTAGGATTTTATATATTGTAATTTATTTATTTTTTTTTTTGCTGAGTAAAGTTATTGCCCATTTACCTATTTTTTACATTTCATTACATTTCCCTTTTTTATTTAATTTGTTAATATTCAGTGTTATCATAGTTTAACTCTTGACCATATTATATGATAATATCTATGGGTTTTCACCAATAGATATATGGCCTAAATCAGTCAGTAAAGCCGAAAATGTCGAAAAACATAGATATGAATTTGCTCGATAATAAAAGTTCCGTTCCAGAACCTAAAAGATTCTACTCATTTTACATGTTTTGCAACTTGTTACTCGAAAACCGTTCCTCAACCCACAAAACTGGTAAAACATTGACTCAAATTTAAGAGAACACTAAACAAAATGACCTTCTCTTTGTAAACTTTTTACTCGAGAAATTTGGTCGAGTAAAAATGGTAAACAGGAATGCCTACTTCTGATTGGCTGTTATGTTGATTTTGAAGTATTGCCATCTAATTTGGCATATTTACTAGATTTGCGTTCCCGAACTTTTCAAATTATTTTGTACTCTGAGAGCAATTTTGAAATGTTTCCCTTTTACTAGATTTACTATTAAAAAAGTACTGGAACAGACCAAAAGTAAATGCGTGTGACATTGCTGATACCCTATGTATCATCCTAACCTATAAAGAAACTGCTCGGAAGACTGAAATTCGATTTTAATTATTGAAAAAACCACCTCGAGTTCCACATAATCCACTATAAACGAATATTTTGTATTTTTGAAAATTTGCTGGGTTAGCATCGAAAAAAACGCAGAACGTGAATCGTAATAGAGTCAAATTTAGCGTAGAGTTCTTCGGAAACAAACTTTCGATGTATTGATGCTATACTCGAAGACTTAAACGTCATATGCATTTGTTTGTCCGAGAGAATATCCTTACGCGATGTTGTCTTACCGAAGACATGGATAGCTATTATTAATGGTAAGTTGGATGAAATTGACTCTCAAAACAAACTCGGAACATGACCGGAGAAGAAAGAGAAAATCCTTTTAACTAATAACGAAAGTTTCATAAAAATAAGCCCACTCGTTGCGGAGTTATATGTATTTGAATTTAACCTTGTGTTAAATTATAGCTGCTACACCTTTACAGGTTGCCTGGTACCTCAACGTGATTTTGATGAAATTTTGATTGCAGCAAAGTTGCCTGCAAATTAAATTTAACGAACGCAGAATTGTGTAGCAGCTATATGATGATTCAAGGCAACATTAAATGGTCATTTCTCTGCAATAGATGCAGATAATTTCATGATTTTTTCACTGCTAGTTAAGGTTAAGTCGTAACATTTCTGAATTTGTATTGCCTACTTCATTAAATTTATTAAACATTAGTGGTTATTTTCATAGGTACATTAGAGGAATTCATTTCGAATTGGCTCAAGGGGAAACTAGAAAATTCCATCTAACTAATAACGCTATTTTCATGAAAATAGCTCCATTCGTTGCGGAGATATACGTATTTGAATTTTACCTTGTGTCGGATGATAGCTGCTACACACTACTGGTCGCCTGGTACCTCAAAGTGATTTTAATGAAATTTCAATTGTCGCAAAATTTTCTTAAAAAGTCAGATTTTAAGAGATGTAAGTAAATTTTCTTCAGTAGGCAGCTAATAGGCGACCAGCATTGTGTAGCAGCTATACGAAGATTCACAGCAAACTTTAAATATTTATTTCTCGGCAAGGGATGGGTTAAGTAATAGCTGCTACTCATTAGTGGTCGTCTGGTACCTCAAATTAATTGTGGTAAAAATTCGATTGCCGAAAAGTTACCCTTAAAATTTAGGAGCGCTGAATTGAGTAGCATCTATTACTTTAAATGGGTAAACTTTAAATGGTTATTTCTGGGCAATGGAGGCAGATAATTTCGTGATTTTTTCACTGCTATTTAAGGTGAATTTGGAAACGTATTTGATTTTATCAAATATGACCGATTTTTTATGTTACTGTATAAGTTTGATGCGTTGGCCCAAGCTTAGTCGATTACGGATGCTGATTAAAAGCTCGGGTATTGCCTTTGAGCGTTCCCTCTGTGGACACCACAGAGCGTATATATCAATGGGCAACGGTTGCTGTAGGTTTGCTCTCCTTGCTTGACACTCTCTCACTGGAATATGTGTAGTTGTAGATGCACAAATACGAAGATCTTTAAGATCCCAACGATCCTCTGCGATCTACGTGAACCTCTGCTTATTAACTCCTGTCGAGCTAACGTCTACGCGTTAGCACTAACAGGCCTCTGATATTTTCTTTGATATTTCTTCTATTTTCATTATATTTACACCAACATACGCTAATCGCTCTTACTCCATTAACTAAGCCCAACGCCGCTGTGTACGTCCGTGGCTTACATGTTATATTGCATTAATAAATGACCATAAAAAGGTTAGTTCTCGTTGAATCTCACACAACTTGACAAACGCGCAAAAAAGGCTCCTGCCGGTGAGTATAAAGAAATTTTGAAAAATTTGTGTGATAAATCATGTACCTACTCATATGAACCCGAAACAAAACTGCAATAGAATGTGTGTCATCGAAAACGGTAAAATTCCCCAAAAGTTATTCATGTGGAAAATCGGCAAACAGATCATGCGTCGACTTTTCCGAACTATTTAATGATTTTCGAATATGCTGTCCCAAAACCATGATTTCGAGGTGTCTCAATGTTTTAATGTTAATTTTAGAGGTTTTTTCATATTCTGTGCATGAAAGCATAATAAATATTTTGCAGAATTTGAGTCGTATGCATCGTATTTTCAATCCAAAATAATGGTCCAACTCCGAAGTACGAAACACGCCCAAAAACCATTTGTTTTAGGGATTATAATTTTTGTTATGTGGACATCTAACATCTAACATAATTTTGGGGCCAAGTACCAACAAATTAAAAAAATTTTGGACACACCCGACCATAGCATGTTTCTCCATATTTAAACTATTGATGCTATGGAGTGCTGCTATTATTTTCACCGCAACTGTATGTAAATTATTCAAAAACTATGAAAAACACTGAATACCAAAAAAATTAACAATTTATTTGCATTCATTCATTTGGATATCAAATTTTACCATTCACTATTCTTATTAAGTAAATCACACTAGCTACTGTCAAATTGTTGTTATTTCAATCTTACTAAATCTATTGTTTTTTTTATTAAGTGAGTAATAATTTCATAGGGTCTAAGACAATTGTTTCTTCCGGAAACTTTCTAAATATGTTTCTCGTAGTTTTCTTTTAATGTTTTCAAACATTAATTTTTATTTTTGTATTTTCTTATAACAATTCCTTAAATACATAAGTCCTTATGTAAATCTAAAGAATCTGTGAGTTAGTTAGATATATAGAATTAGAATAAATTATAAATACACACTTAAAAATTAATAACAATAGGGTTCATTTTTTTTAAATTATTTACCTTTAAGTTCTTTGTATAACAAATGTATAACCACCCTGCATGGTCCATGCCAGCTGGGGATTACCATTATTAACGGTTGTTGTGGTCGATATTGTTGTATTTGTTATGGAGCTTGAACTTACCACAACGGTCGGTGTTTTGATTATCAACTCCTTGCCAAGATGCTGTCATTTATTTGCGGTGGCTGAAGCACCACTACTAGCCGAAGTTACAGTTGATGATGTTCCACCTACTAATGTTGTTGTCGATTTCATTGGCGAGGAACCGCTACTACTATTCGGGGGCGGTGGTGCCGGTGCTATACGTATTGGTTTAGTACGATTTGTTGATCCTGTTGTTGTTGATATTGTATTGGATGATGTATAATGGTGTGTGTTATTGTGGTATGTGTGTTGGCTGACAAGGCCTGCAATTAGATCATAGCCACCGGTTCTTGGTATCGGACGTTTATTTGCACGATTTGGACTATTTTGATGTTGCGTAGATGATGTCGGTTGTTGTTTGTTGTTGTTGCTGCTATTGGTACTGGATGTAGCTGAAATACGATCCAATTCGGTCATTGCTTCTTGTATGGCTTTTTCAAGTTGAGAATTCAATTTACGGCTCCTTTGGAATTATGTATGTGTGTATTTTTCGGAAATTTATTTTGTTGTGGGTTTTGAAACAGAGATATTGGTGTAAAATATTTGTTGTTGTTGTATGGTTGGTTTATTTGGGAAGGGGATTGATTTGAAGGGCAAAGTAAACAGAAAATAAAAATAAATTATCAAAATATTAAAGAAAAATAAAATAAATAATACATAAATTTAATAACCTATAGGAATGTCCGAAAAATAATTTTCAAAGAGAAATGAACTACCAATTCATATTAAATTTTTAAAAAAGCGAACGATCTGCTTATTATTTTAAAAATAACTTTAAAAAATCGTGCCCTGCTATTAAAATATTCACAAATTTACGCATTGCTAATCGTAGAAGAAATGTGGTAAATATCAAGGCTTTAATAATACTAGACAAATATTATTTTAGAAATTCACGCATACTGATACTAGAAAAAAAATGAATCCCAATATTCGAATTGTACCAAATTTAGTACCATTAAGTACACATACATAAGTACGAATTTCCAAAACTACCTACATAGCTCAATTCCAGAATGCAGTAGTAATATTAAATTGTACCAAATTTAGTACATTAAGTACACATACATAAGTACGAATTTCCAAAACTACCTACATACCTCAATTCCAGAATGCAGTAGTAATATTAAATTTCAAAATTTTAGTGTTCCCATTCTATAGGTTCACCCAAATCAAAATTGTACTAAACATAGTACAATCCATAAGTACAAATTTTCAAAACTACATCTACATCCATTCCCCAATCCTAAACTGACACAACAATCTTAATTCCGAATTTCAGGATTAAGTACATATAAGCACAAATTTCCATAACTACCTAATTTATACAATCCAACGGAAACCTTATTTTCCAATTTGAGTATTCAAGCCGTATTAGTTCACCCAAACCTAAATTGTACCAATATTAGTACAATTTAGTGCTCATTAGTATTAATTCCCAAAACTTCCTACATACCACACTCCTACACGTCAACAGTGATCTTAACTCCAAATTACAGGATTCCAGCTCTATCCAACAACATTCAAATTGTACCAAATTTAGTACACATAAGTACGAATTAGAAAAACTTTTTATATAGCCCAATCCTAAACTCCAACAGTAATCATAATTCCAAAATTTAACTTTTATTGGTTCACCCAAATCTAAATTGTACCAAATATAGTACGTTTTAGTACTTTTCGTACATAGAAGTACAAATTTCCAAAACCATATCCCAGTTCTACACTCCGTTAACTTCAAATTTCAGCATTTCATCGCCATTGGTTTCTCTAAACTCAATTTGTACCAAATTTAGTACAGTTTAGTACTTTTCTTACACATAAGTACACACCACTTCCTCATATCGATCCTACTTCTCAGCCTTGATTCCTATTCCAAATTTAAATTTTTTAACTCTATCCGTTAACATGCTACGAAATTGTACATTTTAATACTTTTCGAATACTTATAGTTCGAATTAAAAAATGTTTAGTGATCCTCATTCCAAATTTAAGAGTTCTAACTCCACTGATTCGCCAAATACAAATGGTAGCTTATCTGATACCATCGGACTAAGAATGACCCTCACCCAAAATGCCAACATTTTAGCTTCAGCCGATTCGTCCGAGCGTTGATGAATCGTTAAGACAGTCAGGAAGTCAGGCAACTCATCTGCTAATCCTAAAAACAACTTAAAAAATCATGCTTTTATAACTGTGATAGTCTATACGAAACCAATGTTATCTGATAAAAACTATTAATTATAAATTACGCTTCTATCTCGGGAAGTCCTAGAAAGCTGGAGAATGATTAAAATACGCTTTTTCTCACGAATGCTCACGGTGAGAATTCAATTTTTTTCAATTTATCGCGAATGATACAGTTATAATGAATGAAGAAGCATTTGCAATCTCTAGCGAATGTTCGCATTGTACGAAAAATTCATGAACGATAACATTTCGCTACAAGCTTCGTCGATGCGTTCATTCGCGAGCATTTGTTGCTGAAGAGCATTCTTTTGAAAAACTCAAAAAAAAAGTTCGCGAATGCTCGCGAGCGCTGTTAAAAACAACAATCTGTGTGTAGCAGAAAGTGTACAGCATTTGTGGAATAACAAAACACAAGCCCAACAACTATTCAGTTCACAAACGTTTGTTGTTATTCTTGTTGCTGTTTTGAGAATTCGCTATCATTCGCGAATGTTTCTTTTCATTCGTGAGAGACTGTCAGAAAGAATTTCAAACACCAAACGAAAAGATCGATCTTTGTTGTGTGTTCTCACTCGTTTGCTATGTGCGTGCGAACATTCGTTTGGCAAATGCTCGTTTGGTAAAGAATTCATCGCGATAAATTCATTCGTAAAATGAGCCCAAAACGAAAAAGAACGTATTTTGAATCATTCGCGAGCGAATTTTGCGTACCCTGCAAGAAATTCATATCAATTCTTATGTCTTGCCTATACCTTAATAATTACACCTTTGCAAAAATATAAATTAAAAAAAATAATAATTAAAAAAATACAAAAAAAAAAAACTTGCTCACTTTCTTGTATCCTTTTGGGCCTTGTGGTGAGCCTCCAAACCCTCAGATAGAGTTTGCAACAAATTTGTTGGCATTATTTCTGTATTTGAACGGCCACCACCACCGAACCATTGAACCCATACCGATTCCTGTTGATTATCGGGAATTTTTACAACTTTACCAGGCCAAGCGGGAAAACCACGAGCTGGTCCCCATATTAATTCCCCAACGGCAAATGTACGCATCAGACTCATGGCCAATGGTGGTGTTGAGGATGAAGATGGTGATATGGGTACACCAACTCCACCTGCTGCTGCAGTACCACCACCCGTAGTAGCCTGGCTAGATTCCTCTGCATCAGCACCAGTTACCTTTGTGTGTGTGGTGGTGGTTAGGAGTGGTGATAATGGTTTCAATGAACGATTACGACTGCGTTGAGTAGTTTGTTTGGTTGGAGTTTTATGGCTGTGTAGCTGATGCTGCTGGTGTTGTTGTTGTGAACGATTCTCGGAAACGGAAATCGTTGAAGAGTTTCGTAAAAAGTTCTGCTGTTGTTGGTGGTATTGTTGCAATTGCTGGTGCTGCTGATGCTGTTGTAGTATTTGCTGCTGCGAGGGCGTTGGGGTTCGTGGTGGTGGCGGTGTTAGCATAACCGTTGTAGTGGGAGAATTCTGTGGCGAATCTATGATAAAATAACACTTTAAATATATAACAAAATCAAAGAAATACTCATGTCAAGCCGTTAGAGAGAAATATAAGAAGAAAAGCTGTAAACGATTTTAATGCGGAAATGAATGCTGGGAGCGAGGGACAATGGTTGAGCGATGAGAAAGAACAATAACAAGGGGAAGAATGCATGGAAGAAAAACCCAATCCACAAAAATGCAAAAACCTTTAACCAGTTGTGGGTGACATGAATGATGAATGTCGAATGACATTTTGTTAGGTGTTGTGATTGTGTTAGTCAAACTTACAAATATGGTTTGTCTATGTTTTTGGATATTGAATTTGGCAATAAATCAAATATGGTTTTGTGGTAAATTGGGTTAGACAAAACTGCTAGGTTTGTTTAGGCGCTGAATTTGTACGTTCATTTTAATTATTTGACTTGTGGTCTTTATAAATGCCATAAAACTTATCAAGGCAAATGTCAATAAGCAACAACATGTTTATTTTAGAACTATAAACGGCTGTGTGATTCCTAAATAAATATTCTTTGAAAAAAGTATATACCTGAGCTAACCACGAAAATACATTTATAAAAAAAAATAAATTTGTAGGAAACAAATATTCTTAAAATATTAAAAATATGTATGTATTATTTTTATAAATAATAAAAAAAGTATTTAAAAACAATAAAAAGTATTTAAAAAATCTAAGACTTGCAAAATAAAAAAATTATCGCTTTGCTACATCTATATCTCAAAGATATTTAAACTAATATTTTTACTAATTTTTTTTAATAATTTTGAAACAAATTTTCTAAAAATATTAAAAATATGTTTATAAAAATAATATTTTTAAAATTTATATTATTTTTGTAAACTTTGGAAAATCTATAAACATTTTTTTTGTAACTCCACGCTTTGGAAAATCTATAATTATTTTTTAACTAAACGCTTTGGAAATCTATATTTTTGTAACTTATTTTCACAGAAAACTGCATATGTCAGCAATCCACACATTAATATCGACCATAAATTAAATTTGAGTACCATTTAGTACCAAATTTCATGATTAGAGCTCTAAAGATTCACCCAAATTCAAATTGTACCAAATATAGTTCCATTTAGGACACATTATTTCCAAAAGTACCCACCTCAACCATCCAACAAATCTTCCTACATACCCCGATCCTTCCCCAATCAGGATTCCAAGTCTATTGGTTCAGCCACAATTTAAATTGTAACAAATTTAGTACACAGTAGTGCGAATTGTACACCTCTACAGTGATCCTAAATCCAAGTTTCAGGATTCTAACTCTATCGGTCCACACACAATTCACATTGTACCAAATTTAGTACACAGTAGTACCAATTACCAAAACATCCCACACCCCACAGTGATCCTAAATCCAAGTATCGGTTCACCCACAATTTAAATTGTACCAAATTTAGTACACATTAGTAAACATTTTTAAAACTTCCTACATATCTCGATCTTAAACTTCTTACATACCCTAATTGTACACCTCCACAATGATCCTAAATCCAAGTTTCAGGATTCCAACTCTATCGGTACACACACAATTCAAATTGTAGCAAATTTAGTACACAGTAGTACAAATTTCCAAAACTTCCTACTTATCCAAACCTCACACTCCCACAGTAATCCTGAATCCATGATTCAGGATTCCAACTCTATCGTAAACATTTTTAAAACTTCCTACATATTTCGATCTTACACCCTAACAGTGTTTCTGACTCCAAATTTCATGATTCTAGCTCTATTGGTTCGCCTAAAATTCAAATTGTACCAAATTTAGTACCCATGAATTTAAACTGCTTAAACTGAATCCTGACCCCAATCCGTGATCCTGACTCCCAATTTTGTTGTTTCCGCCCTTTCGGTTCACCCAAATCCAAATTGTACCAATTATAGTACGATTTAGTACTTTTCGTACACATCTGTAGAAAGTTTCCAAAAGTACGTACATATCCTACACTCCGATGGTAATGTTAATTTCAAATTTCAGGATTCCATCTAGTACTTTTCGTACCCACACACTTTCAAAACCATCTCCTTAATTCAACCTTAATTCACACTCCAAATTTCATTTTCGTACTTTTCGCATACTTATAGTTCGAATATCCAAAATACACTTTTCTTTTCTATATATAGTCTACACTCCATCAGTGACCCTCATTTAAAATTTAGAAGTTCTAGCTCTACCGGTTCGCCAAATACAATTTGTATCACATTTAGTACATTTTAGTACTTTTCATACTGATCTAGTACGAAATTCCATAAACCCAGCCTTATCTGACACCTTTGGACCAAGAGTGACCCTCACCCAAAATTTAATTAATTATTATTAATATTTATATTGTAGCATATGGACTTACATTATCATTATAACATTATATTATTATTACATTACTATTACATTACTATATTATTTCTTTACTATTAGTAGCTTTCTATATTTTATTACTACATGTATGTTAACTATTCCATTAATTTATATTTCAATGCGTTCTACCTTAATGTAATAACAACACACACAAAAGCAACCCTTGTACTTTGTTCATTCGTTTTATGTTACGCTCAGCAACAGCATAGTTTATTTTGTTTTCTATCAATATCCAATGAGTACATTCTTGTACAAGCCGTTACCCATCAACGAGGCATTACACTCACTCTCATGTTTGTTGTTGTTTTGTGATTCTAGTTAACACTCATGATATGTGCAACGGTTTGCGCATTCCAAACTATTTGGCATTCTTTGTTTTGTTTATGAGTTGGTTGAGTGTGCGCACGTTGATGAGAAACAGCTTTTACTCATTGATAAAGCTCAGTACAAATTATGTAGAGCTTTCTGCCTATAAAAGGCGTGCGCTCGATAAGAATATATTCATTATTGCAGATCACTTGGTTGAGGTAAGAAGTACTTAGCATTAGATACGTTCTGGTTGTCAGTGCGGTACTCTGAAAATTATAAAATTCAAGGAAGTTCTTATAGGGGATTGCTAGATACGTTCACAGTGTCGGTAGTGCCCATAAGAAAATAATTGAATGTACCAAGTGTTCTGACTGTTGCAATCATTGTATCTTTTATTTTAAAATTATAAATAAAAGACTTAAAGTAAAGCGGAGTTTTTGTGTCTTATTATTTGGAAAGGCAACTATATAGCTGGTCCCTGGAGGCACGGACTCTCCTCCCTTTACATTTGGCGCCCAACTTTAGAAGAATCGCGAAATCTGAGAAGACTACAGCTGTGGACAAAATTATTGTCGAATTTTGGTGCAAATTTGGAAGAAGCCATTGATATAGACAACCTGGAAGAAATTTCACGGAGAAGTAGTTCAAGATTAAGAAGTATGGCTACTGCAACGCTTACAGCAGAGATGTTGGAGAAGTTAATGCGAACTGTGGCAGAGGCAAACATCAAAGTAAGTTCGTTTGCAAACTGCAGCGCGCGCTACAGCGGAGAAGGTGATGCAACGAAGGTGGAGGAGTTTATATCGGCCATAACCACTTTCAAGATGGTAGAAAATGTGAGTGATGAGAACGCAATTAACGGGATGCCGATGCTTCTACTGGGTGATGCTTCAGAATGGTGGGCTGGAGTAAAAGGTAAGGCAAAGAAATTTGATGACGTCGTGAAGATGCTGCGGGACTCGTTCTGTCCTCCGAAACCAGCATGGCGAATATATGCTGAGATCATGGAGGGTAAGCAACAGAGAGGCGAAGCTACCGACAGTTTTATTAGAAAGAAAAGAGCTCTATTTGCGAAATTGACAAAATCACCAAGTGAAAATGATCAAATCGATATCATTTTTGGTATGCTGAGCATTGACATCAGAGATAGAGTGTTCCGGCACAAAGTTTCAAGCTTTGACGATTTATTAAAGGACGCTCGAGAGGCGGAAAATGTCATAGCAGAAAGACAAAATAATGACGGTGTTAAACCTAAAACATCTGGATCTGTCAGATGTGCTTTTTGTCACAGAAAAGGGCACAAGGTAGAAGACTGCTTCAAAAAGAAACATGTTGAAGACGAAGGACGAAGGAATGCGATTTCGACCGCCCGTGAGAATACGTCTAAACCTAAGTTAGCATGTTATGGTTGCAACGCTCCGGGTGTAGTGCGTGCAAACTGTCCAAATTGCAAATCTAAAAAGGATGGCACAAATGATCAGAATGTTGCCTACTTCAATAGGATATGTAGTGACTTGGTTCAAAGTGAAATTCCTCTAGTCAATATAAAGTTTTTCGGATGTCTTGGACAAGTTATAATAGACACGGGTGCTAGAATGAGTGTAGCTAGCGCAAACATGAAGGAAATCATGGATTGTAATGGGTGTACTTTCCATTCTTTGCGTATGGACATAAGCCTTGCTGATGGAAGCAGATCAGTCAGAATGTTTGGCTACCACTTGTAAAATGGAAATAGGAAGAAAAACTGTTGATATACAATTTGTCGTTTTGCCTAATGCCCGACACAATCGTACCTTGCTTGGTACGGATTTTTTGGAAAAGGCAGGAATAGTATTAAATATGGGTCAAAAATATTGGTATTTCGAAGAAGAGCCGGAAGTTCACTACCTTTTTGCTGAACCATTGCCTCTACACTTGAACCTAATTGAATCCATAAAGGTGGTGAAGAAAATTGCAAGTCCCAATGCAATCCATGCAGCAAGAATTCAAGCACAGAAACGAAAAATGGTGGAGCAGTCTCCAGATCGGTCTATGCAAAGCAGCAGTAGATATATTTCCGATTTCGAATATTTTGGACCAGATATAGGAGGAAGTGACTACTCTCCTCACTCAATCCAAGCAATTTTTAAGGACTCCCTTCCCTTAAATGAAAGAGATACTCCGGAAAGACCAAGAAGCAGCAAAAGAGCCACGCTGACTAGCAAACCAGCCACAAACACGACTCCTTCCCAGAAAGACTACTGTGATGCTATCTTCACTCCATTGTATATGGTAGATTTTAAAATATTAAAAGAATCTGATGCGAAGGAAATTGCAGATAAGGAAAGGTTACAATTGGATAATTTACTGGTAAAACATATTAATGTGTTTGGCGAAATTGTGGAGCCTACACCTTATATAGAACACCGCATTAATACTGGTAATCACGCTCCAATCTCGTCGGCAGCTTACAGACTATCATTTATGAAAGCTAAGGAGTTAAGAGCCGAGATTTTTAAAATGATGGAATTGGGGATCGTTGAGGAATGCGAATCTGCATGGACATCTCCTGTAGTCATGGTTCCAAAAAGAGATGGAGGCGTAAGAGTGTGTGTTGACTACCGTAAATTAAACGCTATCACTGAACCAGATAGGTACCCACTACCAAGGATGGATGACTTACTCCAGGCTGCGAAGAGTACAAACTACATGACCACTTTAGATTTGCAAAGTGGCTATCATCAGATTTCTATGGCAAAAGAAGATCAAGACAAAACCTGCTTTATTACGCCGTTTGGTCTTTATCGTTTCACAAGGATGCCTTTTGGTCTGCGAAACGCACCTGCCACCTTTCAACGGCTTATCGATCGCATAAAGACATCAGTTCCAGACATACTAGTACTAGCATATCTCGATGATATTATAATATGCTCTTCCACACTTCATGATCATTTACATCATCTGGATACAATTTTCACAAAGTTAGAAGTCTTTAAGTTGCGTGTTAATAATGCAAAATGCCGTTTTTGTTGCTCGGAAGTCAAATACTTGGGCCACATATTGACTCCGAAAGGTATTTCAGTAGATCCAAATAAAACATTGGCCATTTCTGCTAAAAAGGAGCCCAGAAATGTCAAGGAGCTTATCTCATTTATTCAAACCTGCTCATGGTACAGGAAGTTTATTAATAACTACGCGCAGATAGCAAAACCTCTGACAGATCTTACAAAGAAAAACACACCTTGGAAATGGGAATATCCACAAAAGACAGCATTCGAAGAGTTGAAAAAGAGACTGATTTCGTCACCAATTTTAAAACAGGCACAAGATGGCTTGCCGTTCATCATTAGAACTGATGCAAGTTCTTTCGCTATGGGAGCAGTTTTGATGCAGGGGGAGGGTTCAGAAGAACACCCAATTGAATACATTAGCCGGTTATTCACAAGTGCAGAACGAAATTATTCTACGACGGAGAGGGAAGCACTCGCTATCGTGTGGGCTCTCTCCAAATTCCGTGGATATATCGAAGGAGCAGAGATCATATTGATGACAGATCACCAGCCTCTGCGGTGGCTGCTTACCATGAAGTGCCCAGTTGGTCGATTAGCAAGGTGGGCGCTACAAATTCAACAATATAATTTGCGAATTGTATACATCACTGGAAAATCGAACTCTGTAGCTGATATGCTATCAAGACCAACAGGAACCGAGCACGATGGCTCGAATGTCCAAATCCTTTCTTTTCAAATTGATTTCCCGCACAAAAATCCCAAAGAAGTTCGGGAAGAACAAATGAAAGACACATGCCTAAAAGAAATTATTGATTCCATTGAAGCAAGAGATGAGAATGCGGTCCGCTGGACTAATCGCGGATATATACTAAATGACAGCGTCTTATATTGCTACAATGACGAACATACTGATGAAGCTCAACTTGTTGTACCAGAACATGAAAGGCCCGAGATTTTGAAAATTTACCACGACGATAGTACTGCCGGTCATTATGGTATTGAAAGGACCATTTCCAGAATTGCTAGTCGCTACTTTTGGCCTAATATGAGGGCTCAAATTGCAAAACACATTAAATCCTGTATCGAATGTCAGCGATATAAGTCATCGAACCTGAAACCTACTGGACTTATGCAGACTGTTAGTCATAAACAGCGTTTTGAAGTACTGTCTGTTGATTTATTTGGACCATTGCCTCCAACGAATGAGGGATTCCAGTGGATATTAATTGCGGAAGATGTAGCCACACGATGGGTAGAAATTTTCCCACTACGTGAAGCCACAGCCGAAATGTGTGCAAAAACTTTAATAGAAGAAGTTTTCTTAAGATATGGAGTCCCCAGACGTCTGAAAACAGATAACGGTGTACAGTTTATCTCATCTATTATGCAACAAGTCGCCTATTGCCTTAATATTCAACAGCAATTTACACCAGTCTATCACCCACAAGCTAACCCTGTAGAACGCAAAAATCGTGACATGAAAGTCCAACTATCCATTCTCGTACAATCACATCATGCCTCGTGGAGTTCTCATCTTAGTGCTGTAAGGTTTGCTATGAACACATCCAAATGTCAAACTACTGGTTTCACATCTGCTTATCTCACATTCGGTCGAGAATTACGGACAGTGGATGATGTCGACCGTGATCTTCGTACAATCGTAGAAAATGAAACATTTATAACCCAAATTACACCATACCTTCGAGATATGGCTAATATTTTCAAAGACGCAAAAGAAGCTGAATATCGTCAACAAGATTCCAATAAGAAAGCGTACGATTTGAGCCATAGACCGCAGTTAAATCTTGATGTTGGAGCATTGGTATTGGTTAATACACACGTTTTATCTAACGCTTCAAAGGGCCTAACTTCAAAATTTGTACCCAAAAGAGATGGACCTTACATTATCACCAAGAAGGTCGGATCCACAGCATATGAAGTCGCATCGCCAACAAATCCTACTATGCCGTTGGGAACCTACCATTCATCAGCCATAACTCCTTATCGAAGAGCTAATAATGTGCAGTCAGAACCCCTTCATCCCATGAAGAAGAGAGGAAGACCGAAGAAATCTTAACTTGTTGTCGTGCCATCGGGGCGATGTCGCACTCCAAAGGGGGAGTTTGTAGCATATGGACTTACATTATCATTATAACATTATATTATTATTACATTACTATTACATTACTATATTATTTCTTTACTATTAGTAGCTTTCTATATTTTATTACTACATGTATGTTAACTATTCCATTAATTTATATTTCAATGCGTTCTACCTTAATGTAATAACAACACACACAAAAGCAACCCTTGTACTTTGTTCATTCGTTTTATGTTACGCTCAGCAACAGCATAGTTTATTTTGTTTTCTATCAATATCCAATGAGTACATTCTTGTACAAGCCGTTACCCATCAACGAGGCATTACACTCACTCTCATGTTTGTTGTTGTTTTGTGATTCTAGTTAACACTCATGATATGTGCAACGGTTTGCGCATTCCAAACTATTTGGCATTCTTTGTTTTGTTTATGAGTTGGTTGAGTGTGCGCTCGTTGATGAGAAACAGCTTTTACTCATTGATAAAGCTCAGTACAAATTATGTAGAGCTTTCTGCCTATAAAAGGCGTGCGCTCGATAAGAATATATTCATTATTGCAGATCACTTGGTTGAGGTAAGAAGTACTTAGCATTAGATACGTTCTGGTTGTCAGTGCGGTACTCTGAAAATTATAAAATTCAAGGAAGTTCTTATAGGGGATTGCTAGATACGTTCACAGTGTCGGTAGTGCCCATAAGAAAATAATTGAATGTACCAAGTGTTCTGACTGTTGCAATCATTGTATCTTTTATTTTAAAATTATAAATAAAAGACTTAAAGTAAAGCGGAGTTTTTGTGTCTTATTATTTGGAAAGGCAACTATATAGCTGGTCCCTGGAGGCACGGACTCTCCTCCCTTTACAATATTTAATTAAAAAAATATTAATAAAACATTTGACTTATAAATCAAAACAAAAAAAAAGACTTAAAAAAACCTAAAGAAACAGTTCTAAAACATCCTTTGAATGTCCTTTAAATATTTCGAAATTGTGAATTAAAATAACATAAATGAATAAAAATAAATGGGAATTATTTAAGGATAATAGACAGATGTAGGAAAACAACAACAAAAATATGTATTTAGCTTACAAGATAATTTCTATTTTGTTCGTTGTATTAAATTTATATATCCCATACCATTTGTAGAGTAAATGATTATTAGTGTGTGGGATGTGTAGATGACAATGCGATGATTCAGAAAAATACAACATAAATTCCAAAGGACTCGTGAATGAAATTCGGTTAGGTATATAAGTAGATATGTAAGTATGTTTAGACAATATATAGATAAAAAATATATAACAAAAATACAAAAGTTAATATATATATAAGATGGGTGGTGGAGGGATAGGGAATTTTTGGACAAGGTTACAAAAATAAATATGAGTCATTTTATTTGAAATTTGTTTAAGTCTTTAAGAATTTTATATATCTATCTGGTGCTCTATGTCTGATGCTCAAATTATTTACTTTATTTGTATTTTTCAAATAAAATGACTCATTTTTCTAATGTCTCAATATCATATGTCTTAGTCCAAATTGTCATTTATCTTCTCATATTAATGTAAGACTGTAAGTAAATGTCGTTTAAAGTAGGTATGTAAGTATAATTTTTTCAACACAGAACAACTACGCAAAGCTGTACTTGTTGTAGTCATCGTCCTTTTTTCAGTTTATGTCCCTGAGGATGTTTTAAGGTATGTATGTGTGAGAATGTTTGTGTTTGGGCCAAGGATGTGTGTGATGTTATTGTTGTTATATTTGTATTAGTGCGTCTAGTTATTGCAATAAGAACAGAAAAACAAAACCCAACAAAAATGATGACAGTTCAAGGATTCACTAGAAACTTACCATGTGTATCTGGTTTTATATCCATATGTTTTTGTTGTAATGTCTGTGAATTATTATTATTATTAGTTGTTGTTGTTGTCGTCGTATGTTGGTGTAGCGTCAAATTCGTTAGACCCGCAATATTTGTTGTACTGGCTGTTACTGTCGTTGTGGCACCCGTAACCCCACCTCCAGGTGGTGGTGCTGCTGCAATCACATGATATTGTGGTGGTGTTTGTACGCGGCGTATCTTCGCCTCCGAGGGCTTAAAAATATTGGCATTTTGTTGATATGCGGTTGACATAACAATACCTGAAGTGGGGAAAGAATGTAGAAATAAAAAAATGTGAGGGATAAAATAGATCGAAATAAGAAATTCGAAATAATAAAAAAATATAAATCACAATCGAGTCAATATTTTAGGATGGCGTTACCATGGCATAAACAAATCCCCAAATGAGAATATCATTTGATATTAAACAATGAACGCAGTATTAAACTGATAATAATGCCAGGGATTGTTATAAGGGCATCAGACATACTTAGATGCCAGTTGAAGTGAACATATTTTGATGGCTGATACCCAAAGGAATGTCAATTGTCTTTAACGGTAATCAACCATTTGAGATAAATGGAAGGGAGACGTCAAGGAATTGGGCTAAAAAATATGTGCAGAAGAAGGAAGGTGTTTATGGTGACATAATAAGTCAAGATAAAGATTCTATTTTTGATATAAGGACTTTAAATTCATTGAAATCAAATATTAACTAGTAAAAATAGTGTCAGTCTGTGTCGCCGATATGTCCGGATTCACTAATGCATATTGACTTATATACTCGATCGTTGTTTATGGTTAGTATAAATATGAAAGTCCTGCTAGGTTTAGACCACACACGATACACCATATTATATATACTTAAAAAAATTTTTTTTTAAAAAAAAATTACATAGTGCAAATTTTGGATGGAATTGGACATGATTTCATTTTTTTAGGATGTTGCCCTGAACAAGAATACATACAATGTATAGGGTAAAAAATAAACACTTCGAGGTGTTTCCAAAAACACGACAAAATTCTCCATGCAACAATTTTTTTCTATAGAAAATAAAAAATCATTTTATGGCATTTAAGTACACTCATCCGCCATATGTGACACCGTTTTCTCTTCGACCACCTTCCGATTTTATTGGCATCATAAATAACCATATTTATACACAAAATAAATACATACATTTATTAGCGATATTACAATGATACATCCCCTAAAAAGAAAACAACAAACCGCTCTAGGAAAAAAAAGAAAACCCCCCACCCACAATGTCTGCCAAAGTAAATAGCAGCATAATCTAATGTTCTGCACCATTGACGTTTATTCAATGCCATTCAATACACAGCAAAATCAACAACAACATTCAAATGCTTAAAGTGCACCATATTTTGTTACATTCTTTATTGTCTATTCGGCGTTTTCTTCCGTTTGGTATAATACAGTAATTTTGATTGGAAGACGGGAGGGGAACAGAGGGTGATGGTCTGCAAATAATAGGGTTTGCCATTTGTAACACTCACACTTCGAACGAAGTTCCTAAGTATGTCTCCCTCAAAAACGAGAGCAAAACAGAAATCGCAACATAAAGTGAAGTGCTAACGCGCAGGAAGGAAGTCGCTTGTGTATTGTGAAATTTGTAACCATTTCTATATGATATCCGCTCAGGATAAAAATTTAATGGAATACAAAGAAGAATGCGTTAAATCGAGAATTTCAAAGCTGAGTAGCGGATAACGGCGATTTATATGTATTTTTGACGACAAAATGGTAAGGGGAACTGGGGTAAATATGTGTTATATTATTATAGCCTCCGTGTTACACCACAATTGGGCTTCCTGAAGAATTAGGAGAAATTCGAAAAAGGAACGTTGACCATGCGAGCTCTAATACATCAGTACAAATCAAAACGTGGAATTGACGGGTTATCCACCGTATATCCCTGACAAGACTCTCAATGGTATAGAATGATTTTCCTCGCCAGAAGATATCTTGTCTAAAAACCCTGTATTGGAGCTGCGATAAGAATTATTGGTTAATTTTTCCACTCCTCTACCAAAAGTTGGCTTTCGAAAAATTTGGGGGAGACCCAAAAAGTATATATGGGTACAGACATGTCCGTAAGTCGCTTGTAATTAAATTAGAGATCGCAATATTAAGGATATATATTTTCGTATTGGAAATGGAATACATCGATCCCCGTTTATCGTGCCTAGAAACAATGTCACATTGAATTTTGTTCTGTGGTTGTGTCTTTGCTTATTTATTATTAATATTTTCCTTCAGATGGCGCTAAATCCTCTAATTCGTATTTTGTGTTATTCCCATGTGTTGATGTCTATGTTAGTTATCAGATCGCCGGGTTGCTTCGGATCCATTATATATAAAGAGGTATCTCTTTTAATGAATATTCGAAAACCAACTTCAGAGAAATATTCCTCCTCCGCTGGGATTCGAATCCGGGAATACATCGATTTGTTGTGTAATGATTGGGGTCCCCGCTAACTTTGTGTTGCTATTTTCCTCTAGGTATCGCTATATCTTGCCGGTCTTATTATTTTGTTATTCTCATGTAGTGATATTTATGTGGGTAAATGCATATTAGTTGGGTATATACTGATTAGGAGTCTGACATAATCCACCGTACAACCTTGACTTGATCCTCAATGGTCTAGGATTTTCCTCGCTATAAGATGTTTTTGAGGCGTCTAAAAACCCTGTATTGGAGCTGTGACACATAATTAATGGTTCATTTTTTCCATCCTCCTTTTATTTTGTTATTCCGTTTTCAATACCTCAAAAGTATTTCAAAAAGTATATATAGGTATAGGCATGTCCGCCTGTGGCTTGAAATTACGTTGGAGATCGAAATATTAAGCATACAGCTTTTGGAAATTTTGTGATGAGACTGTCATCTATCGTTGTCTAGAAACAACACCACCTTGAATTTTGTACAGAGGTGGGGTCTTTGCTTATTTAGTGTTATTATTTTTTTCTAGATGACGCTATACCCTGTCATTCCTTGTATTAGAATGCAGGGGTGCTTCAGATGCATACTATCTGAAGAGGTATAAAAGCCTATTTTAACAAATATTCGAAAACCAACACTAGAAAAATGTTCCTCCTCTGTTGGGATTCAAACAGCAAATTTTTACTGCAATGGTTGGGGTCCCCGCTTATTCTGTGTTGCTATTTTCCACTAGGTATCGCTATCATCATGTGTTGATGTCTATTCAAGTTATTAGAATGCAGGGGTGCTTCGGATGCATTTTATCTGAATGGGTATATAAAGAATAGTAGTCTGACGTAATATCCGCTACATAACCCGCATATACTCTGATAAAGGCGTCGTCTCATATGTTGATTCTTTCTACATGTTGATGGTCTTAGGCTTATTTTCTAACTGATGTTGCTGTAATTTGGAGTTTGACATATACCCTATATAAGGGTAATGTGCATTTCAGTATATTCAAGATTCTAGAAGCAATTCTACCCAACTCTAATAGAATTTAGAAAACCAACTTCAGAGAAATGTTCCTCCTCCGCTGATTGGTGTCCCTGCTTATTTTGTGTTGCTATTTCCTCTAGGTACCGCTATCTCCTGTCAGTCTTATTTTGTGTTGTACCCATGCGTTGATATCTATGTTAGTTAATAGAATGCCGGGGTGCTTCCGATGTACTTATCTGAATGGGTATATAACGATTACTAGTCTGCACTAATCCGGTACCCCCTTATAAAGGCCTCGTCTCATTTTATTTCTATCGGTCGAGGCGCGTTTTCAACCAAAGTGGATGTGTAGTGGGATTTTGGGTTCTCTGTCTGTCTCTACAATACAATATCGGACCATATTATGACTAGCCCCAAAATAAAGCCTCTGCCTCACTTTCTAAATGTTGATGGTTCTGGGCTCATTTTCCAACCGATGTGGCTGTAATTTGGGGTTTGGGAAGCCCCTATATAAGTTTCTGACCCATTTCATTATATTCAAGGTTCTGGGAGTATTTCCCGCACGAAGTGATTATTGCGATTCCGGTTTCCTGATAGAACTGATTTTTGGCAGAACATTTTAATAATGGAACAATGTTTTTATATCTCCCTTATATATAAGTACCACACCAGATTGTTGAAGGTCTTAGGCGAATCACGGTTACAAGTCCGTAACATAATATTTTTAAAGCTCCTCCAAAACTTAGTCAAAAAATAATGTTCACTGTACTTTAAATTTTTAATATCCCCTCCTTCAACTTACCTTTGTCGCACACCGTTGTCGATGGCGATTGTCGGCTATCGCTGCTCATGGGTGAAACATTACCACCATCGGGTTCTGACGATGACACGCATTGAACCTAGCCGAGAAACGAAAATCACAATATTAGTAAGACATTTTCACAAGATATTCTTGCCCCCTCCCTCCTTCAACTCACCATATCACTGCCACCGCTACGATGACTTGGTGGCCTTTCTGGACTCCTTGGACTATGCGTTGTCGTATCGGGTGGACTGCCGGCCGATGAACGTGAGCTAGATGTTTGCATATTGGGTGATGTTGTCGAAGAGGCAGCCGTTTCCAAAACAATACCCACTGGATTATTGATGACATGATTTAAATTCTGTTGATGCGTCGTTGCCTGCAGTGCCTGCAATGTAACCTGATGTTGGGTAGTGGTTGTGGTGGCATTCAATTGATGAGCCGTAGCAGGATGCTGATGATGATGTTGTTGTGGATGAGGATGATGCTGCTGTTGCAGATGATGATGGTGATGTAGCTGTATAGTTGTACCATTGTGTTGTACAAAGGTAGCCGTTGGTGTTGTTGTATGGTGTTGGGTTGTCGCCGGCATCATCAGACCCATTGGTGTGCTGTAGATTTGTCCAATGGGGCTTAGTTGGCCATTACTGCCCACAATAAACTGTTGTCCAGTAGCCGTTGAGGAGATGAACGATTTACTGGTTTGCGGAGAAGTGGCACGCAACATCATGGTTGTTGTGGCTTGTGGTGCTGCCGCCGTTAGAATATTGGCCGTGGGAGCACAGCCATTGACATTTTGTATTTGCAGAAGAGTGGAGTCGGGTCCCATTACTAAACCAGTTGTGGGCAAGATCAACTGTTGACCTATTAGATTCATGGGTTGTATGATTTGACCATTTTGTAGTATGATCTGTTGGGGCTGAGGCGTGTTGGTGGTGGCAGTTGCAGGTTTACTCACCACAATGCCTTGCAGGCCGGTGGAGCCTAGTTGGAATTGTTGGGGAAAGGGATTGGCCGTTGGAGCTGTGGCGGGGGCTGGTGTTGCCGCAGTAAGTTGTACAACTTGAGGTTGTGGTGCAGCATGTTGTTGGGCAGCTGCAGCCGTTTGTATGTTCAACGTGTGGGGTTGTATGATAGTAGCTGTTTGATTGGAAATTTGAGTGGGTGTGGGGGAATTTTTACGTTTCTTGGGACGTCTCTTAAGATCCGCCGAAGAGGATATAATAATACGCTGAGTACCATCAGGTTGTTGCAGAATCTGAGAGACAACCTGACCGTCCAAGGTGGCGAATTGTTGGGTTGGTTGTGCCGCCGGTGCCGCTGTTTGGGTTTGTTGTGGTTGTATGACATAGCCGCCATTTGGTAGAGGATTTAGCACAACTGTTTGTTGCCCCAAAACATTGGTGGCATTTCCGGCCGTTTGAGCTGTGATCAATTGATTTCCGGCTGTTAGAATGGATTGGGTCCCGGTGGCATGAATTATGTTTGTCGACGGATTGGCGCTGGCCGTTAACACTTTGGCCGCATTGCCTGCCAAAATATTTTGTCCTGGATTGAGAATAACCGTTGTGGGTTGTAGTTGGGCGCCATTGTTTGCCGCCGTTGCTGCAGCTGGTTGGCTAACAATGTAGCTACCATTTGGTTGCTGCTGTAACGTGGCCGTTAATTGTCCGGCATTGTTTAGAACATCGCCGCTTTGTTGAATAATTAAATTGGTAGTTGGTGTTGGAGTTTGTGAAGGCGCACCAGTCGCATTGCCACTGGCAATTATCACTTGTTGTTGTTGGTGGTGATGTGTCGTTTGTTGCTGTGGTTGTTGTTGGGCTACAGTTTGCAAATGTGTCTTGTTATTCGATGAGGAGGGCATAACAATAATTTGCCCTGTCGATGTCATAATAATTTGTGAGTTTCCGCCATTGTCGTTTGCGGTTCGCAGCAAAGGTTGTAGCTGCAATTGACCAAGAGGTATGGTCGTTGTGGTGGTGTTGGTTGTATTAGCTGTTGAGGCGTTGTTGTTATTGTTGTTGGTGGCAAACTTTTGCATTGTGGTGTGCAATCTTTGGGCCATGGCAGGCGTTGTGGGATTAGTGACAATATTTCGTTGCCCAGCCGCAGATGCTGTACTTGTAGTTGTTGTTGCCATTCCACGATTGCCAGCAATCGTTGTAAGGGTGGCACGATTATTGTTGCTATTGAAAACTCTTTGTTGTTGTTGTTGGGACACTTGTATTTGATTAGCATTTTTTACTTGCCGCACAATCCGCACTGGACTCTTTTGACAAGTTTGCAGCTTAACTTGTTGTAACTGCTGTTGTTGTTTGTTATGTTGCTGGGATTGTTTCCCGGCACTTTGTGGCCTTGGCGAGGGCATGGGTGATGATGTGGTCCTATTCGATAAGACATTCGGCTTTGAGCCATTATTCACTTCCATGCTGGAGGCCGGTGAGGGTGTACAAGATCGAGGACTTTCATTGCTTGTTGAAATGGCACCAACTTGTTCGGGTTTCTTATGGGCCTCCTTTGTGGCTCGTTGCAGATCTGGGGTGGATCTGGGGCCACCCACAGTGCTTGATGACACCGGAGATTCTTGGGCAGTGGGTACAAATTTAATTGCTGCCTTGGTGTTGGGGCAAGGCATTAACGGACTCTGCTGGGGTTGAGGGATATTTACAGTGGCCAAGGTTTGATTTTGATTCGATTTGATGTCATAGCTGAGAGAGATTGCTGATAAGCGTGGTATATTTGTCATCGCGATTTCCGTTTGTTTATTTTCTTGGTGATAGAATCCTCCTGCTCCATTTGAGGATGGATTGTTTAAAAGCCTCGTTTCATTTGAAGTTTCCACTGAGTGTTGTGGTTCAATCACAGTCTGTTCCTTGGGTTGTTGCATATGGCTGGCCATTGCATCACCCAATTCTTCATGATTTTCAACATCCTCTTCGTCGTCGTCCTCTTCATCATCCTCATCTCCTTCCCCTTCTTCTTCGTCTTCATTATCATCATCGTCGTCTTCTTCATTATCACCTTCCATTTGTTTGAGAATATCCTCATTATCTTCCGTAGCATTTGATTCCTCCGGAGGTTCCGGACATTTTTCCGATTTTATTTGCATACCACCATCCTCATTATGATGATGTTGTTCCTCTCCCATTCCAAGATCCATACCCAAATCTCCTTGCAGGAAATCTAAACATTGCTGAGTAGATTTTAAATGCAACAATCCATGGGTTCCGTGGTCATCATCATCGTCATCTTCCTCCTCCTCATCATCATCGTTAGTATCTTCCATATGATGTCTATCATCATGTCCACCATGCCCAAAATCATTATCCACTTCATTCAAAGCACTAACCTGACCATCATCTTCGTCCTCTGGGTCTTCTTCATCCCCCTCCCCCTCAACATCATCATCGTCGTCCTCCTCACTATGATCATAATCATGACTATGGTGGTGATGATGATGATGTGGATGTTGGTGGCTATCCACCATGGAATTGTGCACCATTTCACTTTGATGCTGGAGAAACTCATTTAGCTCGTCCTTGAAGAGACATGGTTTCTGGTCATCATTGTTATTAAATTCTGAACAATGGTGATGCTGTTGCTGGTGATGATGATGCTGCTGCTGTTGTTGGTCCTGTCGGTGATGATGTTGATGTGGACACATATTTCCATCGGACATTGTTTTTGTATTTAGCTGTGATGACCATGGAGTCGCTCCATTTCCATGTTCATGATGTTGTTGATGTGGTGCACTGGACATTATTCCATTATCTTTGCACCATGGCCTGCTGCCATTTTCCATGGCCATCATATTGTTGTTGCTACTGTTGTTGTTGTTGTTATAACAGTTTGTTATCACAGGTTGTGGTCGCTGTTGTTGATGCTGATGATGATGGTGGTGATGTTGTTGCTGCTGCTGCGGTGGCATATGATTATGGTGATGCAAATGGTGCTGTTGAGACATAGCCTGCTGGTGATGTCCTCCTACTCCTCCACACTGATGATTATGTGAATGGTGATGATGATGCTGTTGCTGCTGTGGATGCTGGTGTTCCATGTTGCATGACGGCATCATTTTGTAATTTTGACTAGTGCAATGATGTCTTGCCACACCTGCAGCTGCTGCTGACGAGGTTGAGGCAAACATTGAATCTGAATCGTTTGTGGCAGGTGGCATAACGTCTAAACAGCTGTTACTGTCACTCATCAATGTCGATTCGTTATTGGCGGCTATTCGCCGACGTTTGACATCTAGAAAAAGGACAAAAGGAAATGATTTTTAAAGAGTTATTCAAAAGAGGTGTAACTTAAAAAGTAAAAAAGCCTGAGGCGTGAATTTTTCAATAAAAAAAATATGGATTTCTAAAGAATTATTTTTTGAGACCTTAATAAAGGCGTGGATTTCTAAAGAGTTATTTTTTGAGGCCTTAGTAAAGGCATGGATTTCTAAAGAATTATTTTTTGAGGCCTTAGTAAGGCATGAATTTCTAAAGATGCCTTAATAGAGTCGTGAATTTTGAAAGACTTAGTATTTGAGGTTTTAGTAAAGGCATGGATTTCTAAAAATGCCTTAGTAAAGGCATGGATTTCTAAAGATGCCTTAATAGAGGCGTGGATTTCTAAAGATGCCTTAATAGAGGCGTGGATTTCAAAAGATGCCTTAATAGAGGAGTGGATTTCTAAAGATTCCTTAATAGAGGCGTGGATTTCAAAAGATGCCTTAATAGAGGAGTGGATTTCTAAAGATTCCTTAATAGAGGCGTGGATTTCAAAAGATGCCTTAATAGAGGAGTGGATTTCTAAAGATGCCTTAATAGAAGCGTGGATTTCTAAAGATGCCTTAATAGAGGCGTGGATTTCTAAAGATGCCTTAATAGAGGCGTGGATTTCAAAAGATGCCTTAATAGAGGAGTGGATTTCTAAAGATTCCTTAATAGAGGCGTGGATTTCAAAAGATGCCTTAATAGAGGAGTGGATTTCTAAAGATGCCTTAATAGAAGCGTGGATTTCTAAAGATGCCTTAATAGAGGCGTGGATTTCTAAAGATGCCTTAATAGAGACGTGGATTTCTAAAGATGCCTTAATAGAGGCGTGGATTTCTAAAGATGCCTTAATCGAGGCGTGGATTTCTAAAGATGCCTTAATAGAGGCGTGGATTTCTAAAGATGCCTTAATAGAGGCGTGGATTTCTAAAGATGCCTTAATAGAGGCGTGGATTTCTAAAGATGCCTTAATAGAGGCGTGGATTTCTAAAGATGCCTTAATAGAGGCGTGGATTTCTAAAGATGCCTTAATAGAGGCGTGGATTTCTAAAGATGCCTTAATAGAGGCGTGGATTTCTAAAGATGCCTTAATAGAGGCGTGGATTTCTAAAGATGCCTTAATAGAGGCGTGGATTTATAAAGAATCCTAATAGATGAGGCGTGGATTTCTAAAGATGCCTTAATAGAGGCGTGAATTTCTAAAGATGCCTTAATAGAGGCGTGGATTTCTAAAGATGCCTTAATAGAGGCGTGGATTTCTAAAGATGCCTTAATAGAGGCGTGGATTTCTAAAGATGGCTTAATAGAGGCGTGGATTTCTAAAGATGCCTTAATAGAGGCGTGGATTTCTAAAGATGCCATATTTTTTCAAGGCTTAATAGAGGCGTGGATTTTTTAAAGAATATTTTTTCAAGGCTTAATAGAGGCGTGGATTTTTTAAAGAATATTTTTTCAATGCTTAATAGAGGCGTGGATTTTTTAAAGAATATTTTTTCAAGATGCTTAATAGAGGCGTGGATTTTTTAAAGAATATTTTTTCAATTTCTAAAGATGCTTAATAGAGGCGTGGATTTTTTAAAGATGCCTTAATAGAGGCGTGGATTTTTTAAAGAATATTTTTTCAAGGCCTTATATAAGGCGTGGATTTTTTTAAGAATATTTTTTCAAGGCGTGGATTTTTAAAGATGCCTTAATAGAGGCGTGGATTTCTAAAGATGCCTTAATAGAGGCGTGGATTTTTAAAAGACTATTTTTTGAAGCTCCCATAGAGGCGTGGATTTTTAAAAGACTATTTTTTCAAAGAATTTTTTTGAAGCAGTCATCAATAGAGGCGTGGATTTTTAAAAGATGCCTTTTTTCAATAGAGGCGTGGATTTTTTAAAGAATATTTTTTCAAGGCTTAATAGAGGCGTGGATTTTTTAAAGAATATTTTTTCCTTAATAGAGGCGTGGATTTTTTAAAGATGCTTAATAGAGGCGTGGATTTTTTATTTTTTCAAGATGCCTTAATAGAGGCGTGGATTTCTAAAGATGCCTTAATAGAGGCGTGGATTTATAAAGATTCCTTAATAGAGGCGTGGATTTTTTAAAGAATATTTTTTCAAGGCTTAATAGAGGCGTGGATTTTTTAAAGAATATTTTTTCAAGGCTTAATAGAGGCGTGGATTTTTTAAAGAATATTTTTTCAAGGCTTAATAGAGGCGTGGATTTTTTAAAGAATATTTTTTCAAGGCTTAATAGAGGCGTGGATTTTTTAAAGAATATTTTTTCAAGGCTTAATAGAGGCGTGGATTTTTTAAAGAATATTTTTTCAAGGCTTAATAGAGGCGTGGATTTTTTAAAGAATATTTTTTCAAGGCTTAATAGAGGCGTGGATTTTTTAAAGAATATTTTTTCAAGGCTTAATAGAGGCGTGGATTTTTTAAAGAATATTTTTTCAAGGCTTAATAGAGGCGTGGATTTTTTAAAGAATATTTTTTCAAGGCTTAATAGAGGCGTGGATTTTTAAAGAATATTTTTTAAAGATGCCTTAATAGAGGCGTGGATTTCTAAAGATGCTTAATTTTTTAAAGATGCCTTAGAGGCGTGGATTTTTTAAAGAAGATTTTTTCAAGCCTCAATAGAGGCGTGGATTTTTTAAAGATAATTTTTTCAAGCCTCAATAGAGGCGTGGATTTTTTAAAGAATTTTTTTCAAGGCTTAATAGAGGCGTGGATTTTTTAAAGAATATTTTTTCAAGGCTTAATAGAGGCGTGGATTTTTTAAAGAATATTTTTTCAAGGCTTAATAGAGGCGTGGATTTCAATATATATGCCATTAAAAATATATTTTCTGGATTTCTGCAACACAGATGCTAATAGAGGCGTGGATTTTTTAAAATGCCTTAATAGAGGCGTTTTTCAAACAACTAAATATTTCTTAATAGAGGCGTGTTGCAAGCAAATTGCATGTATAAAATCTATGCAAATATGTGTAGAATATATCCCTCCCAAAAAAAAAAAAAAAAAAAAAAAAAAAAAAAAAATGACACGCCATTTGGTGGCAAGAACACACGCATTAAACAGCAAATTACACCATGGGTGTGATTGTTGTTGGAATTTTATTTTATTTAAATTTTTTCAGAGTTCAACAAATAATAACACCTAACAAAACCTAAAACATGCATTGAAATCCAGCCGACTTTATCAGCACCATCATTAGTCAGTTTGGGCATGCTTTACACACACAACACACTTGACGCGTCAATAGACACGCAACTAACCGTGCTATTATTACAACTACTAACGAGTAGGTATGGCATAAGTACTTCGCTTTTATTTAGACTAGGTTGTTATACTTTAAAGTTATGGTTTGTTGTTGTAGTAATAAATGTTAAAAGACCGGCAGCAACATGCAACACGCATTTTAAAATTAGTTGTTGTTTTTGTTTTTGTACGTGTAAACTATTCATGTTTGTTGTATTAAGTTGGTAGGTGATGTATAGCTTATGACATGCACAACTTATTTTTATTGTTAAATTGACATATCATAATCGCTTGGAAAGAATAGTTTAATTTGCAATTACACAGTGGGTCAAAAGCGGGATATAAAAACGATGTCATAAGGTTTTGCGATTCTAACTTTCTTTTTGTAAATGACGTTTTATGATAAGTATTATCCTCAGGAATAAATTAAAAATAAAATGAGAAATACTTCGTAAAGCAATAGCAATTGAGAAGTGTTATGAGAATATTAATAATTCTGAGGCGGTAAGAATTCAAACTTACTACAAAGAAGGACTTAAAAATTGTCTATATACAACACAAATATGTGGAAGTTCGTCTGAACCTACCATTATTAAATATTTTTTGGGAATTTGTACTATGTTGGTAGGACAAGTGCTTAAAGGAAATAATGAATGTTGAGAGATCTGGAATAACAAAACATTGTATTGGGATTATGACAATTCTTACTATAGCTATTTGGAAAGTATTACATTTAGTACAGTAGGGTTCATTTAAGGAGAAGGTTTGGAAATCCATATTACAATGGCTGTATTTGTGGTCTAAATATGAAAATTCAAATAAATAGCATCAACAATGTTTCTATTATTCTCGAATGATTTATGATTTATACATTTTGTGAACTCAAAATAATTGTAGAAGCACATTTTCCCACTCCTAAATATTGGTTTTGTACGCACATCTTCTTTTGGGCGGTGCAACAGAGCAGTGGCGAATTTCTATTAAGACTTTTAAATTTTATGTTTTGAATGGTAAAAGAGGCTCCGATTTGAGTAGACGTGTGATAACTCGCATTATCATATTTTGTTCAATTTTAGAATTTCTCCGAAAACTACGATTAAAAAAAATTTTCAAAATGGAATGGAATTCTCGAATATAATTTGCAATTCGAGAATTCCATTTGCAATTCATAAAATATCAGTTGTATGAATTACAAATGAAATTCTTTCAATTGGATTTTTTTTTTGAATTACATATGAAATTTACAAATTACATTTTCGAATTACAAATGAAATGTTATGAACTGCTATTTAAGTTTTTGAATTACAAACGAAATTCTCGAATTTAAATTCAAAGATGGGCAATATCGACTCACGCCTTCTGCCTAAAATGGTCAAAATTGTGCTGAAAATGAATTTTACAATATCGTGCGAACGTACCATCCGATTTGAACCAAACATAAACTATTATCCTTACCTAGCCTCAATCAAGTCCGAAAATGAGACACATTGGTCCACTGATTCTGGTACCTCCCCAACAAATGGTAATAATTTTCAATATTTATAAACCTAATATTTGGAATGTCTGATTTGAACTAAACATTGTACAACCTGTTATCTTTACCAAGCCGAGATTAAGTCGGAAGATAGGACATATTTGTCCACTTCTTCTGGTACCTCCCCTACAAGTAGTTAAAAATGTTTATATTTATAAATTCAATATCAGGTGATTGGAAGGGTTGAGACCTATCGGTCCTCTCCTAATA